CTTTGACTGTTATCTTGTCTACTTTGACTTTTATCTTGTCCACTTTGACTTTTTTCTTGTCCACTTTGACTTTTATCTTGTCCACTTTGACTTTTAACTTGTCCACTTTGACTTTTATCTTGTCCACTTTGACTTTTATCTTGTCCACTTTGACTTTTATCTTGGCTACTTTGACTGCTATCTTGTCCACTTTGTTATGCTGTCTACTTTGACTATTGCTTGTTTGCTGCCACTGCTATCTCACCCCCCCCCCCATTACGATAGCCAGGATGTTGCCAGCCTCCAGTAGAGTGTTAATTTCACCGACACGTCACAATTGGCAAGGTCGCCCACTCCTCCCTTAATTTTATCTCCCTCCCTCTCCCCTTTCCCCTCCCTTCATTCAAAACCCCCTCTCCCTCCCTTACCCTACCCTCCACCCCCCTCCCCCCCACCTTTATTCTCCATTTAACTCATCCTACCTTTGACCTTCCTTGCGCCCCCTCCCTCCCCCCACCCTTACCCACCAGGCGCTCCCGTACACAGCACTCCCCCCCCCTCCCACCCCATCCTCTCCCTCGCTACATACCCCAGCTTAATTCTCCATATACTCTCATGTCATGTATATGTGCTGGTTAGCATTGTAAATGTGTAGCCACGTCTGTGGTTGAAAATAATAATAATAATAATAATAATAAAAACTCTCAGGTCACTGTAATTAACATTCACTTAAATGATAGAATAAATAAAGCAAAAAAAAAAAAAAAAAAAACAGCCTTCGGCAAAGAGGATCAAGTAACCACCGCTATAAAGAAGCAGCTTCACTTTAAACCAAGCTGTATAGTCCGGCCTAGTCTGTGGTTCTGGAGGGGTATTGGACCTGCTGCATGGGTGACAGCTTCTCTCCCATATCAACCTACCCTGGCTTTGCGCTTTCTGAGCTTTCATACATATTTCTGAGCTTTTTTCCTCCACTTGTGCCTCTCCAGTTTCTTTACCACCGAAAAACCATAATTCCCACCTATATGTGTGTGTGTGTGTGTGTTTGTTAGAGAAAAATATATATATATATATATATATATATATATATATATATATATATATATATATATATATATATATATATGTAGAAAATGTATATGTAACAAAAACAGATCGGCAATCAGTACATTAGACAACCGATGGTTAGAGAGGCGGAGTCCAAGAGCTAACAGCTCGATCCTCGGAGCTACAAATAGCAAATCCACATCCCAACCACTCCAACACAGCCTCCAGCTCCTCTTGTCACCCCACTAACAACAACAACAACCCCTACCTCCTCCCCCCAACCATCCTCCACTCCCCCCCCCCCTTTCTCTTGTACATCATTTCCTCCTCCTTCTTCTTCTCACATTCCTCTATCCCATCTTTATCGTGTATACTCCTGTCTCCGAGGCAACAGGTACTCTGAGAGAGAATATCAACATCAGAGGTCCGAGACTGTTCAACACGCTTCCACTACACATACGGGGCATAACTGGCCGACCCCTCACAGTGTTCAAGAGAGAACTATCAACATCAGAGGCCCGAGACTGTTCAACACGCTTCCACTACACATAAGGGGCATAACTGGCCGACCCCTCACAGTGTTCAAGAGAGAACTATCAACATCAGAGGCCCGAGACTGTTCAACACGCTTCCACTACACATAAGGGACATAACTGGCCGACCCCTCACAGTGTTCAAGAGAGAACTATCAACATCAAACTATCAACATCAGAGGCCCGAGACTGTTCAACACGCTTCCACTACACATAAGGGACATAACTGGCCGACCCCTCACAGTGTTCAAGAGAGAACTATCAACATCAGAGGCCCGAGACTGTTCAACACGCTTCCACTACACATAAGGGGCATAACTGGCCGACCCCTCACAGTGTTCAAGAGAGAACTATCAACATCAGAGGCCCGAGACTGTTCAACACGCTTCCACTACACATAAGGGACATAACTGGCCGACCCCTCACAGTGTTCACGAGAGAACTATCAACATCAGAGGCCCGAGACTGTTCAACACGCTTCCACTACACATAAGGGACATAACTGGCCGACCCCTCACAGTGTTCAAGAGAGAACTGGATAAACACCTCCAAAGGATACCTGATCAACCAGGCTGTGACTCATACGTCAGGCTGCGAGCAGCCGCGTCTAACAGCCTGGTTGATCAGTCCAGCAACCAGGAGGCCTGGTCGACGACCGGGCCGCGGGGACACTAAGCCCCGGAAGCACCTCAAGGTAAGGAGGCTGTTGAACAAATTGTGAAAATTACAAAAATAACAAAATACACATTTGTGTGATATTTTGATTCGAGACGAAAGCTGTCATCAGCGATGGTAAATATATTGTCCTGATTATCAGGTAATTATCACTGGTCCATTAGCAAGCTTATACAATACGTAATAATCGCCTTGTTAGGGGGGGGGACAGGAAGCCTGTGGTTATGCCTATCAAGGTGACTACTGTTCTTTCCCAGGATGACACCGACACTAGTGTCCTGGCTTACTGCTTGGTGAGTAGGAAAACAAAATTCCTCTTGGCTAACCACGTCGCAGGAAACGGGAGCCTGGCAGCAGGAAACAGGAGTCTCCCAACAGGAAACAGGAGGCTCTCAACAGGAAACAGGAGCCTCGCAGCAGGAAACAGGAGGCTCGCAGCAGGAAACAGGAGGCTCTCAACAGGAAACAGGAGCATCGCAACAGGAAACAGGAGCCTCGCAGCAGGAAACAGGAGCCTCGCAGCAGGAAACAGGAGGTTCTCAACAGGAAACAGGAGGCTGGCAGCATGAGGCAGCAACAGTAATATTGAGGTGTTTGGCTGGCGGCAGATTTGTCAGGGCGGGCACCACCCTGACAAGTCACCCTGACACTCTGTGTCACCGCTTGTTATCTCTGGTATCGACAGAGCATGTGTGCTGTGGCTTCTGACACCTCCCACGCCCACACAAACACGCCCACACTCACGCACGCCCACACTCACACACACACATGATAGCAGGCGTAGAGAGCAAGAGGCTGGACACTAGATACCAAATAGGAGTTGATATCACACCGAACCTGAAGCCCACATCAAAAAGATATCATCAGCGGCATATACGCTGAATTGATAACCTCAGAATTGCTTATATATATATATATATATATATATATATATATATATATATATATATATATATATATATATATATATATATATATATATTTATTTATTTAATACCTCAGAACCTTGTATACGTATGTCAGACCAATCCTATAGTATGCGGCTCCAGTCTGGAATCTATATCTAGTCAAGCATAAGACGAAGTTGTAGACGGCTTTGAGGAAAGGCTACATGAACTGAACCTCATGTCGTAGGGAGACAGAAGCGTTAAGGGAAGACATGATTCCTACATCCGAAATTCTCCGTGGAAGTGAGAACTATTTAGGACAGGGGGACAGGATAAATCGAGGCGGGACCAAACATATGAAGCTCAAAATCCCTGCAAACACAATTTGGTAGACACACTCACATACAAACACACGCCCACTCACATACAAACACGCCCACATTCACACAAACACACACCCACTCACACAAACCCATACCACCCACCTCCTCTCTCTCTCTCTCTCTAAATAAACACGCCGACACAAACACAAGTCCACTCTCACACACACACAAACACACACGCCCACACTCCCTTAAACAAACACACGCACGTAAACACGCTCCCTGTAGTGTTTTTTGGTCTAGGAGGCCAGTGTCATTGTTGATTATCTCCAAGGTCTCCTGTGTGCTGCTTGAGTGTCCCCCCCTCCCCCTCTTCCCCCCCTCCAGGGCCATGCTGTCCGGCCCCTGTCTAAATACTGTCCACACATGATGTCCTGTCCTTTATATATATATGGATAAATACATTAAGACAGCTCATTCAATACATTGGGCAGTACATTAAGTACTGTCCAATTTACAACACTACACCCAGTGCAATCCAACGGAAAGGTTGATGATATTCTTGAGAGATATAAGAATTTTGCACCAAGACTGTAATTTTTGGTTGAATTATCTGCATGTCTCTTGCAAATTGTCTATACAGTATACCTGTGTCATAAAAGTATTTGTGTGTACGTCTGATACCATACTAATCGGCAAGCAATAATAGGGTAGGTTAGGGTACCCTAACTTCAAGGTAACTAACTTCAAGGTAACTAACTTCAAGGTAACTTTAAGGTAACCCTGAGCTCAAATAACTTACTTTGGTTTAAGTTATTCACACATGCCTGTAACACCACCACTGCACTATCTCTGCTTCCTGATTATACTGCAGTCATATTGGGTCATATCTGAAGAAATATATTTATTTTGTTTTGTCCTCCAAAACCATTCAGTGAGTGGTGGGAGAATGATTATAGTGTCATATATATTGCTTTCAGGAACACTGGAACCAGCTAAGATCTGCCTTATGGAGGAATGTCAGGTATTCAACAAGTACATCAAAATTTACATCACGTCGCCCAAAAAAATGAAAACAAAATTGGTTGTTATTGGAAAGCAAATAAGAATTGGCCAAATCTTGCTGGAATATTGGGTATCTTCACTATCATTTTTTTTTAAACAAAAGCCGGTTAAAAATCCTGACAGGAAAAGATATAAAGGTCATATATATACATATATATGCCTGCACGAATTAAATCAAATGCCACGTCGTAATAAAATGAAATCAACAATTCGAAATATTATCCATTCAAACTAAACAAGAAAATCAAGATTTATAGAAGAGGAAAACACGAGGTTAGGTAAAAAATACAATATGAAAACTTGGTCATTCGGATGGTCACACTTAAAGTTTAGCAGATGTTCCAGTTCCAGGGATAAAACCTTCCCTGGAAGACCATCCATGAAAGACTCTCATTGGAAGAGTCTCTCTGGATGGCCCTTCCTGGAAGACCGTCTCTGTATGGCCCTTCCTGGAAGAGCCTCCCTGGATGGTCCTTCCTGGAAGACCCTCCCTAGATGGCCCTTCCTGGAAGACCCTCCCTGGATGGCCCTTCCTGGAAGAGCCTCCCTGGATGGCCCTTCCTGGAAGAGCCTCCCTGGATGGCCCTTCCTGGAAGACCGTCTCTGTATGGCCCTTCCTGGAAGAGCCTCCCTGGATGGTCCTTCCTGGAAGACCCTCCCTGGATGGCCCTTCCTGGAAGAGCCTCCCTGGATGGCCCTTCCTGGAAGAGCCTCCCTGGATGGCCCTTCCTGGAAGAGCCTCCCTGGATGGCCCTTCCTGGAAGAGCCTCCCTGGATGGCCCTTCCTGGAAGAGCCTCCCTGGATGGCCCTTCCTGGAAGACCCTCTCTGGATGGCCTTTCCTGGAAGACTCTCTCTGGATGGCCCTTCTTCGAAGACCGTCCCTGTATGGCCCTTCCTGGAAGACCCTCCCTGGATGGCCCTTCCTGGAAGACCGTCCCTGGATGGCCCTTCCTGGAAGACCGTCCCTGGATGGCCCTTCCTGGAAGACCCTCTTTGCAAGACCCTGCTAGATCCACCCTGAATAACCTTCCCTGCAACAGTATCCTTCCACATGCTGATCTTTCAGATACATCACCCAGTATCCAGGCACCATGAGCTCTTCCTCAGTGGACGGAGCAGTATTGGGCGTCCAAGGAAGCCTTCGGCAGCATGGAAACTGTCGGTGATCGCCGACCACAATAAACTGGTCGGAAACAATAAGACAACGATGAAGGAACCTGGATTGTATTTGAAGAGGGGTTCTAGGAGTCCTACTCCCCAAGCCCGGCGGCACCTTATTACACATGTCTAGTGCCACTGTGCCAGTTCCCTCGGGGCACTGATTTGTGGAAACTAGCGTTACCAAGCTCCCCTTCCCAACTTATATCTGCGAGGTCCATGTAACTCCGTGTGTGTTACCGCAGGACGACCGTGTCAGTAAGTGTATTTAGGATAAGTAACTACGGCCTGGTTGATACCTGGTTGATGGGGTTCTGGGAGTTCTTCTACTCCCCAAGCCCGGCCCGAGGCCAGGCTCGACTTGTGAGAGTTTGGTCCACCAGGCTGTTGCTTGGAGCGGCCCGCAGGCCCACATACCCACCACAGCCCGGTTGGTCCGGCACTCCTTGGAGGAATAAATCTAGTTTCCTCTTGAAAATGTCCACGGTTGTTCCGGCAATATTTCTTATGCTTGCTGGGAGGACGTTGAACAACCGCGGACCTCTGATGTTTATCAACGGCCTCGCCTGGGTATTACCACAGATCATCTCAACGTGAGTCTCCAATGGATCTGGCAGCGGCTGCGGTGAAGAAGACGGAGGAGAAGGCGAAAGAGAAAACGGAGGAGTGTCTACCTCTCAGTATCTTCCTCACAGTATCTACCTCTCAGTATCTACCTATCAGTGTCTAGGGCGGAAGTGAAGAGTAGATCTTTACGCCCCAGCCGACCAGCCATGTTCTTTACCTGTTACGTTACAATTGAACTATTCCAACATTCCGAATTCTTTGTTGAATCTGGCCTTAAAAAATTGTGGATGGAGGTGGCTTCCAACACTTCTTCTTCGAGTCCTTCTCGTATAGAAGACCAGTATTTTCCCCTACATTCCTTCTGGTCGTTTGCGTTTCCAGCTTATCTCTGTGTCCTCGTGTTCCCCCGTATCTCATTTTGAAGAATGAGAAGCGGAGAGTGGAGGAAGGAAGGAATTATCAGAAGAAGCAAGCGATGAGTCACAATAACGTGGCTAAAGTAAGTTGACCAGACCACACACTAGAAGGTGAAGGGACGACGACGTTTCGGCCCGTCCTGGACCATTCTCAAATCGATTGTGACTTGAGAATGGTCCAGGACGGACCGAAACGTCGTCGTCCCTTCACCTTCTAGTGTGTGGTCTGGTCACCTTATCAGAAGCGCCAAGTCATTGACTATATAGCACTGGGAAGAGGTCAGGATAAGGATTTGGGGTGGGACGGAGGGAAGGAATGGTGCCCCGAGCAACTTGCTTACTCACTCAATAATCAGCTCAAAGTTGAAGATTTTAGAGGGAGATGAGTGAAGGCAACTGTGCAGACTATGGCACCCCTGGGCACATCCACAAGCAGGCAGACTATGGCACCCCGGGCACGTCCACAAGCAGGCAGACTATGGCACCCTGGGCACGTCCACAAGCAGGCAGACTATGGCACCCCGGGCACGTCCACAAGGAAGCAGACTATGGCACCCTGGGCACGTCCACATGCAGGCAGACTATGGTACCCTGGGTACGTCCACAAGCAGGCAGACTATGGCACCCTGGGCACGTCCACAAGCAGACTATGGCACCCTAGGCACGTCCACAAGCAGACTATGGCACCCTGGGCACGTCCACAAGCAGACTATGGCACCCTGGGCACGTCCACAAGCAGGCAGACTATGGCACCTTGGGCACGTCCACAAGCAGACTATGGCACCCTGGGCACGTCCACAAGCAGGCAGACTATGGCACCCTGGGCACGTCCACAAGCAGACTATGGCACCCAGGGCACGTCCACAAGCAGGTAGACTATGGCACCCTGGGCACGTCCACAAGCAGGCAGACTATGGCACCCTGGGCACGTCCACAAGCAGGCAGACTATGGCACCCTGGGCAAGTCCACAAGCAGACTATGGCACACTAGGCACGTCCACAAGCAGACTATGGCACCCTGGGCACGTCCACAAGCAGACTATGGCACCCTGGGCACGTCCACAAGCAGGCAGACTATGGCACCCCGGGCACGTCCACAAGCAAGCAGACTATGGCACCCCTGGCACGTCCACAAGCAGACTATGGCACCCTGGGCACGTCCACAAGCAGACTATGGCACCCTGGGCACGTCCACAAGCAAGCAGACTATGGCACCCTGGGCACGTCCACAAGCAGGCAGACTATGGCACCCCGGGCACGTCCACAAGCAAGCAGACTATGGCACCCCGGGCACGTCCACAAGCAGGCAGACTATGGCACCCCGGGCACGTCCACAAGCAGGCAGACTATGGCACCCTGGGGACGTCCACAAGCAGACTATGGCACCCTGGGCACGTCCACAAGCAGACTATGGCACCTTGGGCACGTCCACAAGCAAGCAGACTATGGCACCCCGGGCACGTCCACAAGCAGGCAGACTATGGCACCTAGGGCACGTCCACAAGCAGGCAGACTATGGCACCCTGGGCACGTCCACAAGCAGACTATGGCACCCTGGGCACGTCCACAAGCCGCAGACATGACCTGGCACCCGTGGGAGACTGCCTTGCGCTTATTGAAAGCGATTAGACTCATCCGGGCATATATGTGGCACTGGTCACGTCACTCCTCACACCATGTGGCACTGGTCACGTCACTCCTCACACCATGTGGCACTGGTCACGTCACTCCTCACACCATGTGGCACTGGTCACGCCACATACTCCACCATGTGGCACTGGTCACGGCACATACTCCACCATGTGGCACTGGTCACGCCACATACTCCACCACGTGGCACTGGTCACGCCACATACTCCACTCCACCATGTGGCACTGGTCACGCCACATACTCCACCATGTGGCACTGGTCACGCCACTCCCCACACCATGTGGCACTGGTCACGCCACATACTCCACCATGTGGCACTGGTCACGCCACTCCCCACACCATGTGGCACTGGTCACGCCACTCCCCACGCCATGTGGCACTGGTCACGCCACATACTCCACCATGTGGTAATGAGTAATTACAACTATGGTAATTGTATGGAACGTGTAATTACCATACAACGTGTAATTACCATTATAATAGAAGTATCCATTAGTATAATCCATACCATTAGAGAGTAGAACAACTCCCGAAATCCTCTCCAGGTAAACTCCAGGCATTATTCAAACGACAATTTCACACAAACTATACCACCTGGTATAGTGCTATTTACAAAGTATTTTCTGGATAAGAAGTCCAGAGAGAGGCGTAAATATATACAAAATACAACATAAATAAATCATACATCGTTCCCAGCCATAGTTAATACATCTCAGGTGTAACACTCTTAATTCAGGACACTTTTAGGCCTAGTTAGGTTTGTATTAGTGAAACCGGTTTTTGGTTTTTAGACCTAAAACCTAAATTTTTTTTCGGGGGTGGGGGGGAGGGGAGGGGAGGTTTTAGGCCTCTTTAAGCCCTAGGTAATTTAACTCTTTCCAAGGCCAACTCTAGACCTAATTAAAAGATAAACAGCTGTTGGGACAAATAAGTAACTTAGTTACACACAGAAATCACAATAGCGTGATGCATCAAATGAAAAAATCCACAAGGGCCGTGACGAGGATTCGAACCTACGTCCGAGAGCATCCCAGACGCTGCCTTAATCGACTGAGCTACGACATGGTCAAAAAAAAAAAGGAGTTGAAATCAGAAGTATTAAGATCCAAGTAAGTTCAGTAGAACTTCTGGTTTCAACTCTTTTGACCATGTCGTAGCTCAGTCGATTAAGGCAGCGTCTGGGATGCTCTTGGACGCAGGTTCGAATCCTCGTCACGGCCCTTGTGGATTTGTTTATGTGACTTTGTACCCAGCTGACGGAGGCCACCTGACCGGACACCGTCTAAGCGGACCTCCAGATAGTGAATTACCACATACAACACAGCCTGGGTACACGGGCCACAGCTGTGACACATGACACATATCTACACTTGCACCAAGTCCCAGTAGAGGACACACCTGTACACGAAACACACCTGTACTGGGCCCTCCGGAACACACCTGAACTACACACACCAGCCAGAGGCACCCCAGCAGTTCCACACTTTGGAACACACCCACAAGAGGCCCTTCTGCCCCCCCCCTCCCCCCCCCCGGCTCTCTGAGGGACCAGGGGGGTGGGGGGGGGGCAGAAGAGCGGTGGGGGGAGACAGGAGTGCCAACCGTCCCACGCAGGGCCAAAGTGGTCAGTTGTGGGGATAAAGTGGTGAAGAGGGGGACCAAAGCGCAGGTCCGGCTGGTACAGGAAGTGGATGTTAGTGTGTGTGTGTGTGTGTGCGTGCGTGTGTTTGCATGCGTGTGTACGCGCGCATGTGTATGAACAGTTATTCTCGCCTGATCCCCAACATACACAAACACCATCCCAGATGGATTGCCATCCTCCACGACCACTAAAACAATACAGCGGCGCCAAATACAGAACAAAATACAAGGCAAGACAAATACTCAGCTCTGTAACCGTCGCCTCGTACACCAACAACACCTGTCGGGCCTCGCTAAAACACCTGTCGGAACACGTTACCTGGAAAGACAACAAAAAACATACGAATTAGGTAAACTCTTGAAGGTCAATTGAGCCATAAACAGCAGCTTCTATTTACACCTACACAAACTCATTCACATATATGTCTATATATCTCTATATATCTCATTCGTATACACACACATTCCAGAGATCACACAAACCAGTATTTACCCAGGTTGAGGAAGTGGCATAGAAGAGGGAAAGGTACCTGGTTGAGGAGGTGTCACAGGGAGGAAAGGTACGGGGTTGAGGTACCTATCCGTGCACCATTGCCTGAGGCGTTTGGATCTATACTTAC